TCTTCTGTTCGTTGGTGCAAAAGATCGCCTACCTCGTTGCTCTTGAGAAGCCGCCATTATCCCACCTCAAATTTTAAACATAGATATGTCACTTTTGCAACTCTGCTGCATTCAATCCTTTCAAAATTAATTCTGCATTCAATAATTCATGAAAATTTAGTCAAGATACTTTCTAAATTGCATCTGAGCAATATTGAGAGTGTAAAATCACATCTCACCTATCTGCCTACTATGTTATCATTTACATTATAATAATCATTATTTGCCGTCGTAATCTGTATTTTTCTTTTATAATCATATTTCCAGAAGATACTGATATTGACGATGTCATCTCCGAAGTTGATGAACAAGATAACAATAAGAAGAGTACCTGGCATTTTAACGGTAAGAAAAAATTTAAATGCGAATACAATATACACTTGTAAGTTGATGGTGTAACTGCAGCAATACATATCTCCATTTGCAGCGTTGCAGAATTCCTGGCACATTTTATTTTCTACTTCGAAAACTACTGAACATCATGGTTTCAAAATTTCAATGATTTTCCTTTTTTCTATGAAGAATATTCTATGAAATCTTCAAGCCATGATGTTGGTTTTGTCTCCTTTTAAAATATGAAATTTTTGCAGAAATTTTGAAACACTGAAACCAAAATACGCATATTTACAGTTTCACAGTCAAAATATTACTTTTTTAAAATATAACATACAATATTCTTTTTGCTTCAAGAGAAATAGATTAATGTAAAATATGAATCAACTGTGGTTATGCATAACTGTGCATCGCTGATGTGCTTGTCTAGATCATTTAATTATTTGTACCTTAACACAAATTAAGAGGATGTGTTCAATGATTAAGCCTCCTTTTCCAAACCAATGAAAATATGCCTGACCAAAAATAATCCACCCTCAAAATATTTTCTCCACTATTCTGCCGTGCTAAGGAAAAACGCCATATGAACCTCCAGACATTGCCAAATCTCCTTCGACAAATCACTAAATTTCAAGGCAGTTTGTAAATATTTTTCTTTCAATTTCTCAAGTATTTTTGCTTGCAATATCATCATAAAAGTCTGCAAATTTCTAGAAAAAATATTGATAATTATCGTCAAAAATAAACATTTTATTGGAGGAAATTAGGCAACTCCCTAATGTTCATACAACATTCTTCCTTGGCATGGCAGTATCGTCTATCCTGGTTACCTCCTTTTTGGTTTCATTCATGTTCAATATCATACGAATAGTAATTACGTGTCTTATCACTGATGGACAGAAACAGGCTCAAAGAAATCATGAAATGTATGTACTATTCTTAAATAACATGCTCTCTCCTCTGTTTCTCTATAATTATTGAAGAGTTAAAATATCAGCAAGTATCATGGGTTTTTATTCCTGTAATGACATTTCTTTCCTATTGATTTCTATATCTTCATTTTTTCATGTAACTATTTTCAAAATTCATTTCTTATTTTATATTGTACATTATGTTTCATAAACATTAGATGAGTCTGCAGTAGACGTAAACATGCCGATCACACAAATTAACACAGACAAAAATCAAAAGCCTATAATTGGTAAAGTAGTCTCGCTTACCAGTCTTGCTTCCTATAAAAGCCCCCAGAAAAATGGACTAATAATTAAGTCCATCCTTCAAGATATGTCTGGCCAAATGGGCCTGTTGCAAACTTTTGCTAGAGCAAAACTAAGAGTTGTTTCTTACAGATAATGCCTCCAAAATCACGATAAGCGCATCGGTAAAGTCTGAAATGCACTCACAACTTCACAATCTGCCTAAGAAATTTGCGGTTTTTTGAGCTTCCCGCTTCGAAAACGATACTACGGTACAGGTGAACATTTTGTTAGAGGAGCCGTTCCATTGGCGGCAATACTCATCATGGCCGACGCCAGTCCGCCAAAACACGTGTGATGGGACGAGATAACATCTGAACAGGATTAAATCAGATAACAATCGGCGTGTTTACGTTTATATTTTCCTCGCCCGCCTTAATTGATCTTGAACTCTCCTCGAATTACTCGCGGAACTGCGCAAGCGTCGGCCATGATGAATATTGCCGACGATGGAGGGACTCATCTAACAAAATGTTCACCTGTGCAGTAGTATCGTTTTTGAAGCGGGAAGCTCAAAATAACGCAAATTTCTTACGCAGATTGTGAATTTATGAGTGCATTTCAGACTTTGCCGATGCGCTCATCGTGATTTTTGAGGCATTATCTATAGGAAACAACTCTTCATTCTGCTCTAGCAAAAGTTTGCAACAGGCCCATTCTGTTAACAGGATTCAATGAACAAGCTGAAAAATTAGCCTCAATTTTAGAATTGAATGAAAGTTATCAAATATCGAAGGCAATAGTAAAGCCTGCTGCACCACTCTTTAATAAAACAAGTCATCCCTATGAATTAATTGCGTCCCAGAAAACACAAATCGAACGAGTCAGCAAAAACAAGGTCAATTTGCCTGATGTCACTCACAATTTTGCTGCATTTGAAGACATTAATAATAACTTGATTCCCCAAAATACTATTGTTCATGTCGAAGGCACTGTTACTGAAGTATTTTCTGCTTCCTCCGGCATAAATACATATCAGAAACCATATGAACGCAGAGCAGTAACACTTACAGATTATGCTGATAATAAACTTAATCTTATTTTATGGAACGCCAATGTTAATATAATTCAGAAAGAGCATATTGGCCGCAGAGTCAAAATATTTGACACGAAAATTTCCTTATTTCAAGAAGCTGTCTATGTAAATGCATCCAACTCTAGAATGGAAATAGATTATTAATGACACACTTCTCCAATTTTTATCAGTACAAATTCTTAACTTCATAACAAATTGATAACTTGTAAATTTTACAAATATTTATTAAAATTTATATCTTTTAAATTTTTCATTCAGTATTCTTTTATAAATAAACAATGTATCATTTTCTCATATATGTCCAGTTTTTATGTAGTCTATAAATATAATGTTAATAAAATCGTCTCATTTTTACAATAACTGTGTACACATTTGTTTTAGATCACAAACCTGAGTGCCTTAGAGATATGACAGGATTTTTTGGCTCCTTTATTGTGACAAGTGTGCAACATCCAAGGTACGAATTATTGACGCGCCATATCAACACTTTGTGTTGGATATCTCTGCTTGTTTTATTCTTCTTTTCGGATAAATTTCTGTGTATCCTGCCAAAATACATGAAGTTCGTGACATGTGACTGTCCAACTGACCATTTAACAACAATGACGAGCATCCAAATCTCATATCATGAATGGAAACGCATTTCACCGCATGACAATAAAGAGCTCATCATTCCAACACCACAAGGTCAATCAATTCATTTCGACACCACGAAATATTTCCGCAATGCTGCCTACGTCTAGCGTCGTGCGTGAATCAAACTGAATTGCACTCCGGTGTTTTGCGAGTGATAACCTCCTTAACCTCTAATGATTACGCTTTCTTTATGTGGCTGGAGTAGTTTTTTGGCCAATTCTCTGTGAAAAGTATGCTATCGATAAAAATGTTAGAGCTAAAGTATGAATGTGTGTCACAATGTCAATAATAATGGACTGGGTGTGCGCACATTCATGTCTAAAATTATGCAGGAATGTATGCTTTGTCATACCCGCTAGATCATTGCATGCATAATTGTAGGATCTTAATTTGTGTTGCTTCTTCAATCGGATTTGAAAAGGTGAGAAGGATCAAATGAAAATATAAGGGACAAAATACATGGTATCTGAACCAAATGAAGTATTTTTGAGCTTTTAAGAACCGTTAGTATACCACTGATGCATATTGAAGAGCAACCTACTATCGGGGAGCCATAACTCGCCGTTTTCTGAAGAAATAACACATAACTCCATTCAAAGATTGCAAAACTTACACAAGCAATTCAAGTTTTTACCAGATTGTGACTGTGCAATTTCACCCTAACATTTTACTCTTTTTATCTCATATCAGGGCAAAAGAAAAATCAAAGAAAATGTTTCGTCAGATACACACACCTCAGTTTCCTAATGAAAATTGATGAGAGCAAGGGGTACTGCTGCCGTAAGTTCCGAAAGTAGGAAGCTTTGACTTCGGTCACCGAACCCGGAATTAGGACGGTATGTTTGTCAACAACTCTTGATCATAACCTCGCATACTTACAGGGTTTTTTTTTTTTTTTTTTTGAAATGATAAACTCTCGCACGAATACCTTTCTATTGATACATCAGAACTTTGAAAAATCAGTTTTTTCAAACCCAGTCTTTTGATATAACACAGTGGATAAGAGTAAGTTTTTAGATTTTTAAGCTAAAACTGTGCAAAAGGGAGGCTTAAAAGTATAAAGCAGTCAATGTTTTTGCAAGTTATCTGTGAAACACCCAGAACCACTTTAACAGAAAGGAAAATCTATTTTATGAATTACCAATCTATTAAAAGACACATTTATACTTTTAGCAATTAGCGATAGTTTTACTGAGAGGACAGAGGAAAGTTTATGTTATCAACAAAGAGTCCGAGTTTTACGATGTCGCCGCATACAATCTTCACGGAAAGATTTTATAGCTTTATTATCAATATCGTATTCACTGAACTGGGATGTGTTCCGAACGGCCTCTAAAAATCTAAGGAAGTGAGGTCAGTTTTGAGAAGGGCTTTCTGTTGCTATCGCCAGAAATTCCGATATAGTTGTTAACTTGTTCACCGATTATTAGAATCAAAAGGTACTATATGATGATTACGTTAGTAACATTTTCCCCTTAGAACAGATTTAAAAGGGATGGATCTTTTAAAGCCTGAAAATTGTTTCAAAACGTCGTGTTGAAAAGAAAATGTCATTTAAAATAATGCACAGACTGCGTCAATTTCTTTCGTGATCATCAACTATTTTTCATGGTATGCTTATTTTTACATTACTCGGTTCATTTTGCGTCCCAGAAACTTTCATGAAATTAAGAGAGTGTGATGATACGACATAAACTTACATGTTATCGCAGCGGCGAACTGTCGCCTGACCCCGGGCGTGGCAGAAAACATGCCGAATAATGTATTGATCGATACAAATCTCGAAGAGGCATGGACGATTACAACAGCTCTGCTAACCTGTATGTCACCACTCGGAACAATTACACACTAAACACCTCGTCAAGACGCTAATGTATGTTTCAGACGCTTCCGTAGACGAACGCAACGCGACACATGGGTTCAAGCGCGTATGAATCAGTGTTAACTCATTTGGCCCGTGGCTGGTCGGCCACGCTGCGCGCTACGCGTCACGTGTGAAGAGGTATTCTCATTATTTCGACGAGAGTGAATTAATGTGGTCGAATTGAAGTGTCAGTGTGTCATTTTGTTTTTTCCAGAGTCGTGACAGGAAATGGGACCTCTCAGGTTCCTGAGGTAACTTTTTTCTTAGAGCGTATACTTCATCAAGTAGCTCCGTTTTTCCTGATAATTAAAGTGTTCAGACAGAGGAATTATGATTCTGCTGTCGTGCTCAAGATGCAAAATTGGACGTATTTCTGCCAAACGGAACTATGTGCATTAAGACACGAGCCCTGAGACCCATCAGAATACATGCATAACAGGGCTCAAGTCGTAATGCACATAGTTCCGTTTGACAGAAATACGTCCAATTAACAGATAATGATGCAATTTTACGCCTACCATTGGCACGACAATGAGCCAATTCGATGCTCGTAATTGGTTCTTTAGGACACCAGAAAGAGTTTTCTATCGACATCTCAAATTTCGATTTTTTTCGATTCAACTCTACGAAAATTCTTTACCTGAAAACGTTTTTTTATTCATGAAGAATAAAGTCATTTTTTCTAAGAGTAATCGTATTATATAGTCGTTCCTCTGATATGGAAACAAATCCAAAGTTGCGAAATATACTTCAATAATTTATTTTTTTTAGACAGCACAGTTTCTGTTTATGAATATTGTTGAATTTTGCCTGCAGTCCATAAACAAATCAGAAAGTTTTTCAAAAGTTTCAAAAAAAAAAAAAACGAATTGTACGTTAAAAAATGTCTACATTGAGATTGAGTTCCATCATTTGTTCATGGTAGGACAAAACAGGTATGAACGCCGTAGCTGTGTGAGAGCGTCATGGGACAAAAAGTTTGCGAGCAGTGACTTAGAGCAGTCGAATGTCCTCTCACTAACACATTAACAGAGCTCATGTAGAGAAAATAAGAATCCGACTGTCTTCTACCGACACATCGATAGAGCTCCTGTGCGTCTGACACCTGTGACGCACGAGTCAGACGAGCCAATCAGAGGCGAAGAGATTCAATGCCCATACCTGTTTTCTCTCTACCATGCTCTCGTTGGGGATTTTGAAATAGGACACAAGAAGAACACGTATAATGTTTGATTGACTAAAGACTTTTACTAGGGCGAGAATTGACTAATATAGGGTGATCGGATAGTAGATGACCCTGGGGAGGGATCTGAAGTCCTGGGCGGAGTTGCCGATCATGCTGAATTGCTTGGGCAGGGATTCCTGAGGCTGGGTCTGGTCTTGCGCTTGGTCCTGGGCGGGTCCCTGGGGCTGCTCGCTGTTGAAACGGATGTCCCGGGACTTGGCCGCGGTCGTGCCGGAGGTTGATCCAGTGCTCCCGGAGTTGACGTCTAGGGTGATCTTCTTCTTGCCGCCGATCCCGATCAGCTGCTCAGCGCCGGCCAGGCCGGCGATGGCGGTGGCGCGGGGATTCGCGATGGCCAGCCCACCAGGGCCAACCACAGCAGTTGCCACGGGCTTGGAAGAAGCAACCCCACCAGCACCTACAACATAGATACGTGGTGGTTATTAACGATAAAACAAAACACAAGAAAATTGGAGACTAAGACTAAAAACAAACAGAGTGCCTGGGACATTCGGGATGGTATCGGGATTATAGGTTGCCTAAGAAGGTTCTGGATTGGGCCCCTCCTGACAGAAAGCGTAGAGGACGCACTGCCAAATCGTGGATTGGGGGAATAAGGCAGGAAATGAGGAGATGCGATCTGCCGGAGGAGCTCTGGCAGGATCGCTATCAGTGGCGGTTGGGTGTCGCAGAGCGCACAGAAGCGCTATAAGAGCGACTTATTAGTTAGTTATCAACCCTCTCCTTGACTAGAAAACAAAAAAGAATTATGAAAATCAAGAAACCCCTCAGATCCCCATTTGTGATTACAAAAAAAATGATTCAGGGAGAGATTAATTTAATCTTTATAGCTTTCGCAGAGAAATATGATAGACTAGGGGGAAAGCCCCCTGGCCGCTAAGCGGGACCCCGTGAGTTCATCAAATAGAGCGGGCTCACCGAGGGACTTTCTCTCATCGAGAGTCTAATCATGGAAATCAGTCCTGAAGATCTTTAGGAGAAACTGAGACAAGGGATGAATATAAATATGCATTTTGTGTAAATGGGAGAATTCACAACTTTATCACGGGTTATAAAAACCTGGATCGTATTCCCCAAATCTGAATAGAGCGAGCTCAAGAGAACGTCCCATTGCGATAGCCACAAAAACCATGAAAATCGACTCACAGTAGGATGATAGAACGGACTGTGACCAAGCATAAAAATTAAGGGGGGTCAGAAAGCTTATGGTATAGTAATTTCATGGAATTCCTGCAAAAAATAAAAGTGCGTGACGCTGTCCTCCCCCATCCCTACTCTAGAGCGTCACGTAATTCATAAACGATCCCCTAGGCTGATTTTGATTAAATCTGTTTATAAAACAATTTAGTGGCTACGTCATTCGAAACATCGAGGTAAAATAATTCAGGTCTAATGATTGCCGCTAATGATCCCTGATTACCGCGTTTCAAAGCATAATGTATTTTAATAGGAAACGAAATATAAACAACATAAATGTTGTTTCAGGTAAAATTTGAGTTCAGTTAAACTTCATAAGTTTGTCATATCAGAATTGTGGAGATGTAATAGTTGTTAATATCAGGGCCGGATTTAGGGGGTGGCAACGGCGGCAAATTTGGGGGGCGACAAATTTTGCAATTTTTTTAAATGTAAGAAAAAAAATCGGTTTCAGAAAAAGAATTACAAACAAGAAAATGCGACAAAATCTCTCATTTCCTGAGAGCAAAGTAATTTCTAATTTTGTTGTCTTTCAGTGATACAAGAGACAGCACCTTTAATTAGTCGAGTCAAGACAAAAATCAAACACATAAAATTGCTTGGAACGGCATGGCGCAGAGAGCAATGATGAAGAGGACTTGAGATGAAAAGGAGAAGCCCTCGGCGCGGCGGTCGGCATGTAACACGCATCGGCGCCTACAAGAGTACATGAATACTTCACGCATTGCGCCAAACACGCAGTGCGTTGCGTTGTGCGTTCAGCAGCGATCGGCATGAAACGCACAGCGCCTACAAGACTGTAGGAATACTTCAAGCATTGCGCCAAACACAGTGCGGCGATGGAAGTTAAAATTATTAAAGCACATTCATGTCCGTTCTCTCTTAATTTTTTCGTTCATTTCTTATAAATGGAAGGCCTTGTCCACGCAGAGATAGGTTTACGGAACTTAACTTTTGCTAGCAGTGTTGACAGGGCTTCCGCAAAAAATGTGTCCAACACGAGTGAACGCGTCTAATGCACCCCTTCCCTCTGATGCGTTCACTTGGTGGTTTTGATAGATGTCTCAAATCGAATGAGAGGGGGGCGGCTAAATACAGGCGGCCCATGGGCGGCAAGCAGGTGAATCCTTCCCTGGTGAATATAGTTGATATAGCCTCATGGTGATAAGAGAGCGAGAGACACAATAGCCCGAATGCAGACAACAATAAAAACACGCTAAAATACAAAAACAAATGTGTTTACAAGGCTAGAAGAGACATAAAACAACCAGGACATTTCGGGCCAATTACATGCCCATTCTCAACTGGAACAGAAGCTAAAACAAGCAGTTCCAACGCCAAAGCGTTGGAGGGCGCTTCTTTAACACTGCGCATGCGAGGAACGTTTTCATACGGCCAAGCGAGAGTATTGCGGACGGACGATGTATAACAAATTGCCTACGTGAAGGTGGTCCGGCAGCAACATACCCGCCGCTAGTCTCTGGAAAACCATAGAAAATAGTAGTTGCGTACGTTGCCAGCGAGCGCGCTCCGAGCGCATCTGTTTCAATTACCTAGCATCGAGTCGGGCCTCTAACTTTCTATTCTCTCTGACATAACCTTAAACCTTCAACCAGAGACAAGAGACCCTCCACTAGTAACTTGGCCATGGTGGAAGCTTTTACTTTCGGGACTTCAGCATTCTACTGTTGACTTACCTACATGGTTGATGTTCAACAACGTGTTGGCAGTTTCGTTTCGCAAACAAGCCGAAAATGGCCGACGTTTGGGAAAGTTGTTTGGCTTATGACGTCATCCGAAGCTCATCATCGACCATGTAGGCAAGTCAACAGCCGAAAATAGGGTGATGACTGTTGCTCGCTCATAATTGTCCATAAGGAATTGTTGAAACCCCGAAAGTAAAAGCTTCCACCTGTCGCTAGGAGGCCAGTGGAGGGTCTCTTGTCTCTGCCTTCAACCCAGAGCCGCAAACAGCTGACGCTTGACGATGATGCGCCGAGAAAATGAACCAATCACAAAATAGCACAGTAATACGTCACTAAAATGAAGAGATCACGTGACTGTTCGTGATTTTTTCGAATCAATCTGAAACTACAACCTCGAATATGAGGCATTTAAGCATAACGAAGCCCCAAAATAGTTTAACCAGGTAATACGTCCGTGCGAGATTGTTATGCTTAAAAGCAAAACATTTCACGAAAACTTTTACGAATACCAGATGCAGAAGAAAATCAAATTTTCCCGGGTGTACCAGAATGGCGTCATTACCCATAAGGCAAAATGGTATGTAGTATAGTACATGTTACATCGGGGGAGTCGAACGGCTGGAAAGGGCGCATCTGGTACCCAGAAGCGCCCAAAATGTAAAAATTAAAACAAGAAAATGAGCAGGCAACTGACCGAGGTAGGAATCAGTGCAAAAATTTACACATTCAATATTTACATTTTTTAGCTTCTGTTCCAGTTGAGAATGGGCATGTAATTGGCCCGAAACATCCTGGTTGTTCTATGTCTCTTCTAGCCTTGTAAACCCATTTGTTTTTTTGTATTTTAGTGTGTTTTTATTGTTATAGTCTCATGTTAATATAGTTTTATCATTTTTATAAAACATGTATTTTTAATTTTCTCTCGCTGTATGATCAGGGGGTTGAATTTTTTGAGATGGAGTTTATAGTTTTTGCTCACAATCGAGTCATCAAATATGTCGACCTATCGAATGACGTAGTCACTAACAGTCTATTTCAAGTATGATCTCTATTGAAAATAGGGTTGTCGGAGTGGCGGTACCTGCGATGGCGAGTCCAACGGGCTTAGCCTCGGCGACGGAGGCGTTATCCGGCGGGGGGTTGATCTCGACGCCGTCGGAGGGTCCGGCGGTCTCGGAGGTGCTGCCCTCGTCGGTGCCGGCCTCGCCGACGCCGCCCTCTTCGTCGTCGTCGCGGAGCCCTAGCAACTCCGAGTTCCGGTCCACGATGGACGTCCGCCCCGACGGGTGGATGATCAGGTACTTCCCCTTCGCCCCGCCGTAGTACGGCAGCGCCTCCACCCCCCGCGGGTCCGCTTCACGGTGCTCCGCTATCACCCTGCAACATACAAAACATACACATCAGCAGGATTTCTATTAGTCAGGTCAAAATAGCGAAAAAAGGGGGTCGACCCGGAATAAGTTGCAACAAAATGTTTTTTTGCGGAAATCTCTCGAGTTATACTAAAACAACATACTAAAATTTCGACACGATCCGAAGACCGGAAGGGAGGGAGGAAGAAGGGTTCCAAGACGCTAAAATGTATTAAAAAAATGTGCGGTTTTTTTTATATATTTTTGCATTTTGGAAGAAAATTGTAGGGTTTCTGCAAAAAATGCAAAGAACTTTTTTGAAAGTACATTAAATTTTCCTTAAAATGACGAGTCGCACAACACTCTTCAATAATTCGTTCTCTAGTTACAAGGAACCAAAAAGAGCATAAATTCCGACGGTTTTACGAAAAATCGTGTTGACTGATAGACAAAGCTATGGACAGAGGAGATAAAAGGGAAATTGAGCGATCTCACTGGTTGAAACCGGTGGTTGTTGAAAAATGAGGGGAAAATGATTGAGGAAAAAGGATAGGGATGAAAAGGTTCAATGAAACACATTGAAAAAAAAAACTCCGGCCGAGGAAGCCGTACTTACGGGCGATATAGACATACCGTCCGAGTTCCGGGCGCAGAGGTTGAAAGTTTCGGGCGTAGCACCCGGAGCATGCAAAGCTGCGGCTCCAGCACCCGGAATTTTCGGCCTCTGATCCCGGAACGGACGGTATGTCTATAAGGCCCGTAACATTAATTTTTCAGTGCAACCAAAACTCAGTGCTTCGAAAGATGAAAATATGGAATATCCAAAAGTCTGTTTAATGAATGGAACGACAATTTTGGAGTAACGAAAAAAAAAAAAGAGGCGTGTTTGCTTGTTCCGCACAATGCGCTCAGAGTATTTTGTCAGCGCCGCGCAATGGAGAATTTGCATGTGTCTGAAATTTGATGAATTCCGTGTCAAAGTGGATGCCACCAAGTGAGCCGAATACGAGGATACCCTTGGTTCATAAATCGAATGATTATTGGAGAAAATACGACAAAATAACCTAATCTGCGAAAATGCATGTGTTTAAATGGGAAATGCCGCCAGATGACGTCATTAAGCGGTGCATTTTCTCACTTTTAATCCTATTTTTATACTATTTTCCATTGTAGAAAAAAAATTATGAAAAATACTGCAAAATCAGCTCTTCAGGCACTTTCAGATGAAGCAATAAAAAATTTGCGTGCAAATTCTCCATTGAAACCCTCGAGCTAGGATCGATGTGACATATTTTGCGTCTCTGTAAATTGCAGGCGATTTTGTATTGCTGTAATTTCACAATCATTCGCGTTTCTTTTAGTTTGCATAGGAATTCATGAGCGTTTTGCATTAGGCCTAAAAAGTATTATAAAAATAGAAAAGAAATAGGTCTGATGCAAAAATCTCATGATCTCGGTACATCCTGGAAGAAACCCGGTTGACTCGCGTTAGTTGTGAAATTACGGCGATAACAAGTCGCCTGCAATTCATTGTGACGCAAAATATCTTGCGGCGACCATATCCTCGAGGATTTTAATCGCCAGGCGCTGACAAAATATTCTGAGCGCGTTGTGCGGGAGACGGGACACGCCTCTTTTTTCCTTCATTAATCCGAAATTATCGTCCAATTCTTAAATACAACTTTATAATTATAATCGCAAACTCGAATATTTTGTAATTACAGGAAAGTTACACTCCCTCGAGCGAGAGTCTCATGATTCAGAAAAAATTCATAATGTGTACCTCTTTCATTATCTGAGGAATTTCATATTTTCCCTATTCGTTCATTGGCTCCATTTTCAAAACTGGAGATGCCAGAAAATCTTCAGTTCAAAAAACTGTAAAAACTGTTTCGTACGGTAAATGTTATCAAAGCTTTGCAGTAATAGAACATCTTTCAGTCACTGATAATCATTTAAATAATTTCCTTGGCCTGTTGAATTTCCCGCTAAAAATTTTCCGTGATACTCCTTAATCAAATTTTCGTGATGATCAAATCACACGGTAACCGACATTATTCCGTTCCATGAATTTAAAAAACGATTTTCTCTAATCGGATTTTGACCAGTTTATTCATTTCAAATTTATCAAAAAATTTAATTGATAGGGATCTAAAAGTGTTTCGAGAAGCGGTATCCAAAGCTTTCAAACCATTAGAATTTATGGTGACCGAACAATATTGTAATTTCAGAACGCATACTGTAAAACAAGTACAGACAAATTCGTTCACGCGGATTTTAGCGAAAATTTTAGATTTTTCAGCATAAATGAGACATTTTAAATTGCAATAATAGAACTTTTTACTTCTTAAAATAAAGTGCACTTTTGAACGTTGGATTAAGACCCTTTCAAAAGATTGAAAACCACAATCAAGAAATGTTGGACCAGCTAGGTCTTTGAACTATGATCAACTCGCTATTCTCAGTCGCCGGGTGGAGTTTTACCCGAGAATATTCTTAAGCCCTCGTGTATAAATTAATCCCAGAAAAGCCTCTTATGACATTCTTCACGGGAGGAGCGCTTTCAACGAAAGTTGAAAACAATCGCGTGGACCTAAAAATATGCTTGGATTATGCCTCTAATTATCGTTAACGACAATCGGAAAAGTTTTATGTTGTAGAGAGAAAGTAGAGGCATTATTCACATTGTAGAACATTGAACTTTCTCTGGAGTCTGGGTCTCAGGCGGATTTTACACCTGATAATTTTACTGAAATAGTTAAAAACACTCTCTTCGACCTTGTTTTTTTTCATATATTACCTACTCTCGCTGTTGCATGCTGACTCTCTAACTCCACGAGTAACATACAAGTAGTAAGGTCAAGATTTTAAAGATGCAGTATTGTTAATAATGGAACCAAAAAAAGCCCTCCGGTGAAAAACAAGGTATATGTCTTTCAACGAAGAGGAGTTCATTTCGTACCATTTGGCGCGTACAAAAAATTAAAAAACCAAAATTTCAAATCCTTAAAACTAACTTCGGGAGAGCTTATAACATTTGAAACGAAAAATTATAAATTTGAAAAAGAGTTATGATCGTGAAATTTCCTTCCTCTTCCTCTATCCCCCCCCCCCCTGCAATTTTCTGGCCCCTCTCTCTCACACGAGCGAATCTTGGAGAGCACAATGCCCCTTTTCCTTTGTATATTGCTCTTCCAGCTTCAGGAATAAGCATAAAAAAGAAAAATTCAGAAACTTGTCTTGAGTTGGGTTTTTGCTGGATTGAAAAATTTTAGCTGTCACCTTTAGTCTCTTTTTTGATCCTAAGCACATCCATATATCCTATTATTGTGGGTAAATAGAAAGAAATACTGTCTTGCCCGTAACGTTCTACATCCCAGCCTCTTTTTACTTTAAAAAAAGGACCAAGTAAAATATTAAATTAATGAATATGTATGCCTGAATACCTGCAGAATATTCCGCACAGTGGAGGAAAGACACACAATAACAGTAAGGAGGGTCTAAATATAAAACAACACAATGTTAGAAAATTTTTAACGCCATAGATGACTGAGATACAAATTTCCATATTTTGAGCATTAATTGTCGTTATTGAAGTCAGTAAATATAGGCACTCTCTATGGTGGGCCTTCTACTGGGTTAGGCTCAATATTTGTCACTTTGATTTATTAATTTTTCTGAAATAAATTGTTCTCATACGTCATATTTCTTCTTTTCTTCTTTCCCTTTACTTTAAACGTCCTAAAGGATGATGAAGGAATTCATTAGTGTCTTATTAAGGAAGAAAATTTCTCAACGCCTACCGATTCAATGCTCCGCTTAAGCTTATAATTTTACCCTGGATGACAATCAGTAATTTAGACCTATCTTGAGCTGTTTCATTTCTGAAAAGAAAGATCCCCAGTTTGAAAGAATGTCCGAATCTTCCCAAGTATTTTGAAGGTAATTTACGATTCAATCTTTAAATGCTGAGCGTATGAATTTGCGCGAAAAATTGCAATAATTTCAAGCGAGGAGCTATTACTTACCAGCTTCCTTCAATTATATCTTCAACGGTATGGAGACTAATTTGAAAATGCCTTACGCATAGAAGAATGTGGGAGGTAAAATTTATAACACTCATAATTTATCTCCAAATTCATCTTCAAATTCCTGGAGAGAACCAGCTTCTAAAAATACTCCCTGCGTACCCCCTCCCTCCCCAATTAGATTTCGCAAACGAACTTGAGAGATTTTTACCAAAATATCAAGCCTCCAAGTTTAATTTAGCAATATTACAAAAGAAAGCGCACTCTTGATTTAAAGACACGTTTCAAATTTTCATGATAATTACGTTTTGCTCGTACTAACATACGCAAATCAAGAGAATTGAGAGGGTAAAATACATGCACATTTGCCGCAGTCATTTCGTTTTCACAATTACGGATTATTCAGTATAATTACGTCATGGAGAGGATTTCTGGAAGATAAACCTCAGTATGAATTTGTCGAAGAGGGTGTCAGACAATTATGGTATATTCATTCGAGTAATAGTATGATGATAGAGTGGTGCTCAACCCACACTATTTTGAGGGGAAATTCAAAGTCGAAGTAACATAAATTTGCAATAGAGTCAAAAAATGCTCTCCAAGCAGTTTTGCCACAAAACCGGGGAGGGGAGATGTATGTATGAGGTAATGAACGTATGAAGAAATGCTTTTCCATTTCTTAAAGAGGTTGATTTAATGACCAATGTTTCACCCTAAAATGTTCTTGTTGTGATCGAGGAGCAATAAATTTTCTCCCAAAAACCGACGTCTTTTTTGAATAGGATAATATAATACTGCATACTCTCTATTAAATCAGCAGTCCATTTTTTTAAGGCCTTTGTTTTGTGGAGATTAAGTAAGTAAGTAAGTAAGTAAGTAAGTAAGTAAGGCCGGGCTGGCCGGCGAGGCGCCCTCAAGGGGCCAAGGCAACTGGCAACTGCCGTCGTGCACCCCGAAGTCGGACCGTGCTCCCTAACATATCTTCGTACTATTGACA